TTGGAGTTGTGTTAGTTTGCAAGTATCAGTTGGAGTTGTGTTAGTTTGCAAGTATCAGTTGTAATTGTGATAGTTTGCAAGTATCAGTTGGAGTTGTGTTAGTTTGCAAGTATCAGTTGGAGTTGTGTTAGAATGCAAGTATCAGTTGGAGTTGTGTTAGTTTGCAAGTATCAGTTGGAGTTGTGTTAGTATGCAAGTATTATTTGGAGTAGTGTTAGTTTGCAAGTATCAGTTGGAGTTGTGTTAGTTTGCAAGTATCAGTTGGAGTTGTGTTAGTATGCAAGTATCAGTTGGAGTTGTGTTAGTATGCAAGTATCTGTTGGAGTTGTGTTAGTTTGCAAGTATCAGTTGGAGTTGTGTTAGTTTGCAAGTATCAGTTGTAATTGTGATAGTTTGCAAGTATCAGTTGGAGTTGTGTTAGTTTGCAAGTATCAGTTGGAGTGTTGTTAGTATGCAAGTATCAGTTGGAGTTGTGTTAGTTTGCAAGTATCAGTTTGAGTTGTGTTAGTATGCAAGTATCAGTTGGAGTTGTGTTAGTTTGCAAGTATCAGTTGGAGTTGTGTTAGTTTGCAAGTATCAGTTGGAGTTGTGTTAGTTTGCAAGTATCAGTTGTAATTGTGATAGTTTGCAAGTATCAGTTGTAATTGTGATAGTTTGCAAGTATAAGTTTGAGTTGTGTTAGTTTGCAAGTATCAGTTTGAGTTGTGTTAGTTTGGCAAGTGTTAATTTCGGTTGTTTACAGAAGTGTTAGATGTGGAGGGCAGGGACGGGAAGCTAAATGCATGCATTAAATGGCACCTCCTGTTGAACTCAAAACAAGTGGTTACAATGTTAAACTGGGGGGGGGGGGAGAGATACCTGGATTTTGCGAAAATAATTTAACACACAGCCTGGACGCAAAATGTACCATATTAAACTGGCTATATCAAACAGACTAATGAAGATTTCATGATGACCTCGGCTATTAGCAAATGACGAAAAGTGACTTTCCACAACAAAGTTTTAAAAATATAATATCCCACTCAATTGCATTACAATAGATTTCCCTCACTCAAATTGTTTTAATGGCACGATTATTAGATAAAACAAAAGGGGTAGTAAACAAACCCCAAAAACAGAACATTTTCGTATTAATATTTTGTAGGCATTTTGATTGCACTCAAAGTCATCCCCATACCAAAAAAAAAAAACGGCACAAGTACAAAGCCCAGAAAAAAAAATAAAGTACTGATTTCTGTGCGTTGGGGTAGGGGTACTATTTACAGTTTGATAAAATTGTTTTTATGGGCAACGAGTCTATATGACAAATTTCAGCACGATTGAATTACGGAAAAAGGGCAATAAGCCTGCCTAAATTTCGACTAAAAAGAAATCCATCAAATCGAAGTTAATGTAATGGAATTAAACATGTGAACAGTTTAAATTAGAAGTAAATGCTTTCTTTGTGTACAGATAAAATGATTGCTGCCTTGTTGTTGTTTTGTTTATATGTGTGTGTGCGTGTGTGTGTTAATATTGTAGCACATCATTCCCCTGTTTACATACAGCAGTAAAACAAAGTACTATAAAATTAATATAAAGTAATGCTATTCTATCTGCCCTCCAAACAGTGTCTTATGGGCATTTCCAATGAAACTACTATGTTACATGGCTTTG